AAGAATATACTTTATTGAATACCGTATATGAGGATATATTTCTGGATTCCATTATATTCTATCAATTTATGTCTGTCCCTATGTAGCTCCATGTTATCTTTATTATTGTAAAATTTTAAAATATTTTAGAGTAAGTCTTCTAACTTTGTCCTTTTTGTAAAAATTGTTTTTGCCTCGGTAGGACTTTTGCTTTTCCACATGTATTTTGCAATCATCTCAATTTCTACCCAAAAAAAGCCTACTGGTGTTTTGATAGGGATTGCATTACATCTGCTGATCAATTTGGAGCTGCCACCTTTACAATTATTGATTCTAACAACCCGTGGTATATTTCTGCATTTCTTCAGATCTTTAATCTTTCTCAGCAATGTTACATAGTTATCAGTGTACAGGTCTTAACGTATCTTTTGTTAATTGTATTACTAAATGTCTTTCCTTAATGTCACTGCTAATGAATTTTTAATGCTTGATAGCACACAAAAATGCAACTGTTATTTATCTATCTATTTATTTCAGTTGGAGGCTCACTCCGTCACCCAGGCTGGGTGCAGTGGCATGCTCACAGCCACCCAGCGACGACCTGCTTGGGCTCCAGAAATCCTTCTGACTCAGCCTTCCAAGTAGCTGGAACCATGCCTGGCTAATTTTTTTTTTTTTTTTCCATAGAGACGAGGTCTCTACAAAGTTTCCCAGGCTGGTCTCAAACCTGCTGGCTCAGGCAATCCACTCGCCTGGGCCTCCCAAAGTGCTAGGATGACAGGCTGCACCACTGAGCCTGGCCTATTTATTTTTTTAAGAGACAGCGTCTTGTTGTTATCCAGAATGGTCCGAACTCCTGAGCTAAAGTGATCCTGCCACCCAGCCTCCTGAGTAGCTGGAATTACAGGCATTAGCCACCACGTCTGGTTTACATGGATCTTTCTCCCATTTACCTTGCTAAAATTATTGGTTCTAGTTTGTTTTTGAGATTCCTTCAAAACCATGCCTTTTCTTTTTCTGGTGTTATTGCCCTGGCTAGCACCTCAAGTACAATTTCAAGCAGCAGGGTTGAAAGCTGACATCTTTGTCAAGTGCCTGATCGTAGGGGGAAAGTTTTCAGTCTTTCACTATTTTACTTACTGTTTTTCATAAATGTTCCTTATCAGGTTGAGGAAGTTTATCTTCCTAATTTGCTGAGTTTTTAAAAGTCTTGGAATTGGTAAAATAATTTTTGTGCTTATTGGCATAATCCTATGGTTTTTCTTTTTTTAATTACTAGTATAGTGTATTATCTGATTTTCTGTTATAATCAGCCTTTCATTTATGGGATAAACCCTACTTATCTTTTTATGTTGGGAGGTTTGTTTTTTTAATGCCAACTCATCTGATGTTTAATTACAATTTCAAAATTGTGGTCTGAATGATTTTACTGCAATCCAAATTGCCTTTGTGACCTATACACGCCTCGATACACATTTTGTTCAGCTGTGTGCCTACTATGTGGCAGGCACTGTTAGGTGTTGAGGACACAGAAATAAATAGAATGGACACAAGCTCTTGTCCTCATAGCAGTGGTGAATCACAACAAAGTAAGTAACTATAATATAGTTGGTGACTGTTAGGCAATATGAGGTAGATTTGAAATTTAAATAAAGGGAGGCAAGATAACAGAATTTTTTTTAAAAAGTTTCCTAGAGAAAGTCAGCTGAAGTGTAAATTGAATTTAACTGGGGTTGACACATCATTTACCATCCAAACAGGGACACTTTTGAAAGTGACAGTGAAAACAGGCATCATTTGGAATATATGGTTACCTAAGATTTAGCTAGCCAACAGGGATGGGTGTTTACAGCAGGGGGAAAAAAAAAACCTATGTGAAAGAAGGCCCACTAAAGTAACTAAAATATTCATTTTGGTCAGTTTGTAAATTGTAAAAAAGGAAATCAGGTCACAAAAGCAAGAAGAGACCAGATTCTAAAGGCCTCGTAAGTCAGAAAGGAACCTGGATTTTATTCCAAGGGCAATAAATGTTCTAAGCAAAAGCATGATTATTAACTTTTTTTTTTGAAAAAGATAATCTAAGGCCGGGTATGATGGCACATGCTTATTATAATCTCAGCACTTTGGGAGGTAGAGGTGGGAGGATTGCTTGAGCCCAGGGATTTAAGACTAGCCTAGGCAACATAGTGAGACCTCGTCTCTACAAAACAAATTAGCCAGGAGTGGTGGCATGTGCCTGTAGTCTCAGCTACTTGGGAGGCTGAAATTAAAGGATCCCTCGAGTCCAGGAGGTTAAGGCTACAATGAGCGGAGATTGTGCCATGGTTAGAGTGAGACCCTTTTATGAAAAAAATAAATAAATGATTGTAGTGTGGAGAAAGTGTGAGACAAGAACTTATCAATAGAGATGAGGTATGGAATTTTGGGGTCATGAAAATGTTTCATGCCTGATTGTGGTGATGGGTGCACAACTCTGAATATACTAAAGACCAGTGAACTTTAAATGGGTAAATTGTGTGGCATGTAAATTAGAGCTCAACAAAATCATTTTGAAAACTGTTAAATTCTCCAGGTGAGAGATGATAGGGCTCTAGAATAATGTGTTATAAGTGAGGATGAATTCAAGAAATCCGAAAACCTACGAGGCCTTGTGACTGACAGAACATGGAGGTGAGGAAGAAGAGTCAAAGTTAACTTCTAAGTTTCTATCTTAATAGCCAGTGGATGATGGTGCCATTTACTGATAAAATCTAAACCATAGGCACATGTGGGGTAGAGAAAGCAGAGGAGGGATCTTCAGACATGTTAAATTTGAGAGCTTCGAGACATCCAGGGTGAATATCCAAGGTGGACTCTCAAGTGAAGATCTGGGCTGAAGGGTATCAATGTGAGCATCATGAAGTGAACAGGATGGTCAAGATGTGTGAAGGAGGAAGGCCAAGATTTAAAAGATAGTTAGAGGTGAAATCAGCACGTCTGAAAAACACCCAACATAGGAAAAACCCAGGGAAACAATGTCACAAGCCCAGCTTAGAATGTTTCAAAGTGTTCAGTGTAAAATACTGTCGTGTCAATGAGGAAAGTTGCCTCTAAACTTAAAAAAAAAGAGAAAAAGTTCCAGTTTCAGTGGCATGATAGATTTGGTGGTAAATGGTGAAATTTGAAGACCAGAAGATAGGGTGTAGAACTAAGAGAGGAAGAGTTGGAGGTTTCAAATTGTTATGAAAAGTGAGGGCCGACTGTGTTGATGTTGAGGCCCTGGCTGAAGGTGGTGATCCCAAATGATATGGTGGCACCAATCTGTGCCATCTTGTGGTTTTCTGTAATAGAGTTCAGCAACCCACGTTAAGACAGAGCCGAACTCATCCAAGGTTCAGGTTTTGCTAGGTACAAATTAATGACAAGAGCAAAGGAATTTGGGAGAGTGGCAGAAATACTAAGATGCCAAATCTAAGTTGGATGGAGAGGTAAGTGAAGAAGGTGACTAATGAGAACAAAAAATTTGGTATATTAGGGTTCATTCTTTCAAACTTTCCAAGGCCCTTTATATTTATCTGCTTTCATTCAACATTTTCATCAACTACACAACTATACTACATCAATGGGGGAGGCAGCTATAAATAAGATCCCCTCCCTCAAAAGCATTGATCACTTTGAAGAAAAGCATTACGACCAATAAAAATATTTAACAGAATGGTCAGTATAATTAATAAGACCAAGGTACAAAGAGTATGAGATTTTCATCACATAGTAAGACGTGGTTATCAGGGAAACATTCATTCTATTTTATTTTTTATTTTCAAAACCTTGTGTTGAGGGCTGACTTTCAATAGATTGCAGTGAGGGAGCTGAAACATTCATTTTAAAACTGCCTTAAATAGCTCTTGAGTGCTGAAAGTCAGCCACAGGTAGATCTGGGGCGAAAAGACCATTCTGAATGAATAGCATAAGGTATAGTAGAAACCTAATTCGAAGATAAGGCTCATAAGAAAACAATGCAAGGTGTAAAAATAATTTAAAGTCAAATTTAAATTTGAGCCCGAAGTGTGCGAAGGAATCTGGACTTCATTCGGTAGGTGGAGTCTGCAAACATGATCAATGATGTGCTCTAGGAAAACTGGTAATCTAGAGTCAAATCCTTCTTATATTTAAGGCCTAAATCAATGGTATTCACCTGGGGGACTGTACAAAAGAATCACCTGCAGTGCTCTGAAAGCTCCTGTTGCTGGGTCCACCCACCAGAAATTGTATTTCTGAGATGAGTTTACATCATTCCAAGTTTTTGAAAGTACAACCCCAGATAATTCTAATATGCCACCAGGGTAGAAAGGCAGTAGCACAGGGGTCCCCAACCCCCGGTAGTGGTTCAGAACAGCAGACAAGTGAACAAAGCTTCATCTGTATTTACAGCTGCTCCCCGTGGCTGGCATTACTGCCCGAGCCCCGCCTCCTATCAGATCAGCAGCATCACTAGATTCTCATACGAGTGGGACCTATTGTGAACTGTGCGCATGTGAGAGATCTAGGTTGCACACTCCTTACGAGAACCTAAGGCCTGATGATCTGAGGTGGAGCTGAGGCGGTGATGCTAGTGCTGTCTCCCATTACCCCCAAGTGGGAACAACTAGTTGCATGAAAACAAGCTTAGGGCTCCCACTGATGATGCATTATTGTGAGCTGTAAAATTATTTCATTACACATTACAATGTAATAACAACAGAAATAAGGTGCATAATAAGTGCAATGTGCTTGAATCATCCCCAAACCATCTCCCTTCCTGCCTCTTCTCCTGCAATCACGCCCCCAACCCCCATCCATGGAAAAACTGTCTTCCATGAAACCAGTCCATTGATGGCAAAAAGTTGAGACTTCTGCACTAGCCTAAGGAAAGCCTATATTTCTCTTAGTCTGTATCTATATCAAACAAAATTCAGAAGAAACCACCTATAACTAGCTAAGATGACCCAGTAAAATTAAAACAACAAAATCACACAAACCATTTCCATCACAAAACAAAAACAGATATTGAATATATACAATTTATTTAATAAATTAATGTCATTCAAAATACAGTGCCAGAACATGATGCAGTTGAACATGCTAGTAATGTTTGTCACGAAGCACCTGTGCTCATGTTAGATTGGCGGCGCCCCACTACTGCTAGTGGTTCCTGGGATTAATGCCAGAGCAGCGCTAGTTATCTGCTCTTCCACACAGCTAGTGCAGAGAATTCCTGAACAGTTCACCTTCCTAATCCTACCCCCCCACACGCACACAACAGGTTAAAAAAACACACCCTGACAGCTAACAGATATCTATACACAATCACTCTACAGTAATGCTTATTAAATTAAGATGTAATGACCTGGTTAACCCACTCTAAATCTTTAAGATGGAGAACTACATCAGCAGCAGGTAGTTGCACGCATGAGCCGATGTTAATGTAATACAGAAAGTGGAGGCATTTCCTGATTAAAGCTCCACGCAGACCCGCACGATGAAAGGCTGGCAATTCTTATTGCAAGCCCAGCAACATAAGTCCACATCTGGTAAATGACCAGCTGATTGGAAGACCTGTATTCTAGATAGACAAGTATAAGTTAGTGAAAAGAGAATACATGCACCTAATAGTACAGTTAGACTGAGCCTGCAGTCATAGCTTTCCCTGTATAACACCATAAAATTATGGAAGATCTTCCTCAACTAGAGTGTAGGATTTAGACATTTCTCTACCAACATGGACATTAGTGTTAAGTGCAACTGAATTAATTACACTGAAAAAACTGTATTCCAGGACTTCAGAACAGAAGCACAGGAATGAAATACATATACTAAAATAACCTCAGCACAATTTGTGATATACCACACTAGGAACAGGAAACTACTTTTATAAGTGAACTTTTTGAACTGTACATACACAGGGCTAACAATGTTAGATAATCCAGATTCTTATGCTCTCATGATACACATAAAAGTTTCTCAATTATTGAATAATCTTTCTTATTATGGAAGCATATCTTTCTGTAAGACTCACTGATATATATTATACTGATGCAAATATTAAGTAGGGCATAAAAATAAAATTTATCAAAGATAGATTTTTATGTATTCATATTTAGTTATTTCATAACCTCTCTTGTTTAGCAAAGAAAATGACAAAGCACATAATTCAGGCGTGCACTCCCTAAACTCCTCAACTATACAGGTGGTAGTGCAACCATTTCTCCATCCAGTTCAAACTCCTCTGTCCCATCTGGTGAAAAAAGATAAGTTGGTGGTTTCCATGGAGATTCTTCAAGGCAGGATGGATACAGTTTCCCCACAGTGCATCGAAAATCTCTCCCTAAGTCCCAGAGTACACGTTCAGATATATGCTGCCGCAGAGACCACCGGTCAAGCTCCAGGTCATACTGGTAGGTGACATACTTAGCTCGCTCATTTAAGTGGGTTTCTCTCATAAACACACACAGAGAATTTGAGATCACAACAGCTCTAACACAGGGGTCAGAGTACCTCTTAGCAGGGATGTTGGCTGCCATTTTCCACTCATTTTTGCTCACATCATAAATTTCCACAGTTACTGAAGACCCATCTACAGTGCCAGAGGGGAGTCTTATGCCAGAATTGGTCGCAATATGCAACCCTCCAATATAGAAAATTTTATCACCAAAAGCTGCAGCTGAAGCAAAGGACCTACTAGTTTGTCTCATGGCCATTTCTACCCACGAATCAGATCTTGGAAAGTAACAGTACATGAGGTTTAGTGTCATCACATAAATGCAGTCATGAACCACAACTGCTGCACTCCACTGCCAAGCACAAGGCAAAGGGCTTACCATAGTCCACTCATCCTTCTCAGTGTCATACCTTTCTACAGTCCTCCGATTAAGTTCTCCACCTACACTATCCCCTCCAATTGCATAGATATAGCCTTCACAGCAAACCAGAGATGGCTTTATACGAACAAAAAGCATTGGGGTCTTCGGAAACCAGGTATTTTGCTGTGCGTCAAACCAATAAAAGCAATTCACAGTTCTGAAGGCAGTCTGAAGCTTGCTTGTTTTACTGTGATTTGTTTTTGTGTTTTTCAGAGGAACTTGACCCCCTGCTATATAGATATCATTATCAGGAGTTACAACAGTCCCAACCTTATGCAAATCAGCTGGTGGGCTGCACAGCTTGTAAACCTTTTCCGCCTGGGGGCTGTAACAGACAGAAGAATAAAGACTACAAGGATTTTCTGAAGATGCTTCAATGAAAATCATCATTTCCTCTTTAGTCATCCCAAGTCTTGGTTTGAAAAACTTGGGCATGGATTTATACAGACCTTGAACCACCACAGACTTATCATTGGGCGGCAGACCTTGAAACCAAGCTCTCTGTGTTACTTCTGAAAGTGCATCAATTCTGATTTGGCTAAGAACTGAAGACAAATACTGGGATCGGGATTCTGTGTTGTACTCCAGCCACAGCATAGCAGCTTCTCGAACTGTTTCTTCCTTTTCTACATTTAAATTGTCACTACTGAGAATGTCTATCAGTAGGTCATGTGACAGCTGCATGAAAGCTTCCTGGTGATACACAGCAGTGAACTTGTGCTCCACCATTCTTTTAGCACTTTGTTTTAATTCCTCACAACTGAAGAGATCAGCAAAACTCAACAATCGCACACAATTCTCTGCATTAATTTTTTTAATTAAATATTCTCGACAACGTTGTAACACATCTTCTACCTAAAATGAGAAGAATAAAAAAGACAGACCGGTAAGAGCAAGATAGACACATTTTACTTTTATGTAAGACACAGGTATATTAATCAGATTCCAATGCTGTAGTTTTTATTGTCAGATACATGTGATTGAGTTAAGAGATAAGTTCTTCCAGTAACAATAAAATTAGAAGACTACAGATAATTTTGCATTACTTTTTTCTGCCCAGTGGCCTACTTACCTGTTCTATTTAAGAACCAGAAGTATGACATTAAATAGGCACTTAAAAAACTAAATAAGCTCAAGAGATAGGTAAAGAAATTCACGCATTCATACTTTTTCTAGACTTAAAACCAGAAAAATATGCACAATAAGGAACAGTAGTACAACAGTTATTACTTGGCACTCTTATCTAGAGAGGTAAGATAACAAATCAAAGGAACAGGCTGGGCACGGTGGCTCAAGCCTATAATCCGAGCACTTTGGAAGGTCGAGGCAAGAGAATTGCCTGAGCCCGCGGATTCAAGACCAGTCTGGGCAACAGGGTGAGACCTTGTCTCACAACAAATCAAAAAATTAGCTGGGCATGGTAGTGCACACCTGTAGTTCTAGCTACTTGGAAGGCTAAGGTGGAAGCATCACAGGTTGAGGCTGTGGTGGCCAAGAGTGTACCACTGCACTCCAGCCTGGGCAACAGAATGAGACTCCAACTCAAAAAAAAAAGAAAATCAAAGGAACAGTAAATACATTTGTGCAGTTATAAATTATCTATACTTAAATGACCCTTCTTGGCCATTCTAAGCTTCTTAGATTTTTTTTTTCTTTTTTTAAAATTTTGAATCAGGATCTCACTCTGACACCAGGCTGGAGAGCAGTGGCACAAACACAGCTCACCACAGCCTCAACCTCCTGGGTTCAGGCGATCCTTATACCTCAGACTCCCGACTACAGGCACATGCCACCACACCTGGCTAATTTTTTCTTTTTTTTTTTTTGTAGAGACAAGATCTCACTATGTTGCCTAGGTTGGTCTCAAACTCCTGGGCTCAAGCAATCCTCCTGCCTTGTCTTTCCAGAGTGCTAGGATGACAGACACAAGTCACCACACCTGGCAGTTTCTTCTTAAGAAGGAAAGGTAGATCTCAGTAGAATTAGATGTATTACCTACTATTTTTATTCTGCATCACAGTGGGTAACTAGAAGCTGTTTACATTGATAAGTCAGGTTGCTTGGATTTAAAACTTAAATTGGCCAGTCAGTACCTGTATGATACTAGGCAGGTAGCTTCAACTCTCTAAACTTCAGTTTTCTCTTGTATAAAATGAGGAAATAATAATTATCTACCTCAAATGAGTCCTGTAAGGATGAGAATCTATATATAGCATTAGTACAGTATCTGGCATATAAACACATGATCACTTCATGTCGTTAATAGTGAAAGTCAGCTGGGCTCGGTGGCTCAGCCTGTAATCCCGCGCCTTTGGGAGGCTGAGGTGAGTGAACTGCCTGAGCCCGTGGGTTCGAGACCTGCCTGGGCAACTTGGCAAGACCTCATCACTACAGTAAATCAAAAATTAGCCAGGCGTGGTCGCACGCGCCTGTAGTTCCAGCTACTTGGAAGGCTGAGGTGGAAGGATCGCCAGAGCCCAGCGGTCGAGGGTGCGGTGACCGGGAGCAGCCACTGCACTCCAGTCTGGGCGACAGAGTGAGACTCCAACTCAGAAAAAAAAAAAAATAGTGAAAGTCACGATGGTAATCATGAAATGCCCCATCTCAGGCTTGCCAGGGCAACTTGGTCCAAGAGGCAAAATCCTGTTTTGCATTTGGGCAAGCATATGCATACAGCTTTCATTAACATGTCAGAAAAAATCTTAAGGAATGACGCTAACATATACAGTAATTTCATAGTATTATGGAATCCAAATACCTTGAAATTTCTCAACGTTTAGTTTAGCTCCTGGCTTTGAAAAATAGTAATGAAAATTTGCAAGCTATAGAAACACAGTGCATACAGTAAGCATTTTACGCTCTCAAGTTTGGATTTAGGATGTGAACATCTCTGATTCTAAAGTACCAGTAAGCTACCCTGGCCTTAGTATCCCCAGAGCTGTAGATAGAGTAACACAATAACAATTTTATAGGAAAAAGGAATACAGGGTGAGCATCCCTAATCTGATAATCCAAAATTCAAAACTTTTTGAAGCGCTGACATGATCCTCAAAGGAAATGCATAAAGCATTTTGGATACTGAGTTCTGGTTTCCAGAGTTGTAACCAGATGTTGAAATTCAATCAGTGTCATTCACATTAATTCATCACACATTTATGAAATATATAACAAGGCATCATGAACTGTGCCCCCCAAATTTAACCTTTGGTCTGAAGGTTCTCCCTTTGGAGAAACTTTATTTCTGAAACACAAAGTGTCATTCTAAAACAGGGAAAGAAATGAGGAAAAAATTCTCATATTCCCCTTAAAAATTAAAAAGGGAACATAAGGAGGAAATACAGAATAAAACAGCTTATCACACATAAATCTATCAAGTATCACTCATTTTATTTTATTTAGATAGTTTTCCTTAATTGTTCAATATGGTCACAAAACCATTGTAAATATTTCAGTATGATCATCTTCATAAGAATCAAGTTTTCTGTGATGAGTAAGACCATAAAAAATGAGTATATCTGGCTGGGCGGAGTGGCTCAGGCCAGTACTTTTGGAGGCTGAGGCACTTTGCTTAGAGACCAGCCTGGGCAGCATGGTGAGACTTCGTCTCTACAATAAATCAAAATAATTAGCTAGGCGTGGTAGCGCACATCTGTACATCTGGCTACTTGAAAGGCTGAAGTGGAAGGATCGCCTGAGCCCAGCAGGTCGATGCTGAGGTTGCTGTGAGCGTGCCACTGCACTCCAGCCTGGGCGACGGAGTGAGACTCCAACTCAAAAAAAAAATGTCTTCACAAAATAAACCACATAATAAATAGGCCACAACTCATATATAACTGAGGGGGAAAAAATGCTCACCTGCAGGAAGCAAGCCGTTTCATAAAGCTGTTCTACAGTGCTGTCATTTATTGCCAAGTTACCCGTGTATGCATAAGTTATTATTATCTGTAAGGTGGCGGCATCCACATTCCTTAGGTGTACATGTGTCTGTTTGCTTTCACTTAGTCCACTCATGAACATGGCCCTAGAGTAGAGAAGGGGAAAACAAAATGTAAGGCTTTAGTGTAAAACAAATGTAGAGTTAAAAAGAAAAACTAGACAACAAGGCAAGTTTATTTAGGCTATTTACTTGGTGAAACTTCTGAGGAAGACAACAGATAAGCATACAATCCAGTACCAAAGATATACCAGATTATTCCACTATGCCATTTTGAGTGAAAATATCAAAATTCCATTTATTCCTTATAGTCATACAATGAAAAAATATTCAGCAATAAAAAGGAACTAAGTGTTGACATATACATAACATAAATGAACCTCAAAAATATTATGCTTAGTGAAAGAAGCCAGATATAAAAGACCACATAGAGTATGAGTCCATTTACATGAAATGTCCAAAAAAGGAAAATACAGAGAGACAGAAGGTAGATCAGTAGTTCCTGAGAACTGTGTGTGAGAATGGGGACTACAAATAGGCACAAAATGATGGAATTTAGATTATGAAAATGGTTGTACAACTCTGTAAATATACTAAAATTCATTTAATTGTACTTAAAATGGGTCGATTTTATGATATGTAAATTATATCTCAAAGCTGTTAAAATTTATTTACTCAATTTCCTAAAAATATGGAGGACACTTTAAAAAACCTATTATATACAAGGAAACTGTGCTGGAAAGGCAACTGGTATTGTGGAGAATACAAAGCAGAGTGCCCATTTATAGATAAGAGATGAACATTAGTGAACGTGTAAGAGAGGAAACCTCCTGCGAGTAGTGACCAAGAGTGGGCCCCTCAAAGACAAGGAGTTGAGGAAGGCATTCAAAATGGATACACCAGGGTAGAACATAAAAACCGTTTGTTCAAGGGGCATAGCTGAACATAAAGCCTCGCACAGGATACCAGAAAATAAACTGGAGAGATGAATAGTAGTTAAATCACAGAAGGCCTTTACATGAGACAAAGGAGCCTGAGCTTTTCCTTGTAGATAATGGGGAAGACTGAAGGGTTTCCAGCCTGAATTTAACATGACAAAATGTAACTGTAAGAGTTCAAAGTAAAAATGCAAGACTTAGAGATCAGGTGGTTTTTATGCTTATTCCAGTGGAGTAGGGCAAGGGAACAGATGACACTGAAACTGGTTATTCTAGATTATGGATTTATGACATCAGAATGACAGATTTCGGTAAAGTAAGTCCACATGAAGTATCATGTAGAAGTGCTGAATTCTCTATACCGAGACCTTAGGAGCCAAAGGCTGGAGACAGGAAACCTGGTTATGAGGCTACAGCAGGAGAGGTAATACACAGGAGAGGAAAGAAGAACCTGAGCTAGGGTGGCAGAGATGGAATGAAAAACTATTTCAAAGAGCCATAAGATCTGGTGATTTTCGAACATAAGAAACGTGACAGAGGAGGAAGTTGGCAGGGAAGAGTCAAAGTTGCCTGTTGATTTTCAAGTACTTGAAGAAATATTAACCATTAAGAGAACATTTAGGCTAGGCACAGTGGTTCACCCCTGTAATCCCAGTACTCTTGGAGGCGGAGGCAAGAGAATTGCCTGAGCCCAGGAGTTCAAGACCAGCCTGGGCAACTTGGCAAGACCTCATCCCTACAATAAATCAAAAAATTAGCCAGGCACATGCCTGTAGTTCCATCTACTCGGAAGACTGAGGTGGAAGAATCACCTGAGCCCAGTAGGTCGAGACAGCAGGGGCCATGAGCATACCACTGCACTCCAGCCTGGGCAGAGTGAGACTCTGACTAAAAAAAAGAGAGAGAAATTACAAAGCCAAGAAGGACAGTTAATTCTAGCAAAAAGGCAAGTTAAACTTTGGTATTATTTGACTTGAAGTAAGGGTAGTTGAGTCAAATAGAAATAATATAATAATCAGTTAAAAAACAGTGGAACGAGCCGGGCTCAGTGGCTCAGCCTGTAATTCCGCGCCTTTGGGAGACTGAGGTGAGTGGATTGCCCGAGCCCGCGGGTTCGAGACCCGCCTGGGCAGCGAGACCTCATCTCTACAATAAACCAAAAAATCAGCCGGGCGTGGTAGCGCATGCCTGTAATTCCGGCTACTTGGAAGGATGAGGCGGAAGGATCGCCGGAGCCCACAGCAGGTCAAGGCTGCGGTGGCCGGGAGCGGCCACTGCACTCCAGTATGGGCGACAGAGTGAGACTCCAACTCATAAAATAAAAAATAATAAAAAATAAAAATCGTGGAACACTGAAGGTCAGGCATTATAGAGTGGACCATGATTTATCTATAAAGTGACATGCAGTCAAAGTTATGAGAGGGAGACTAAAAAGTATTTAAAAAACCCCACCCCAAAATCCCAACGATCAACTTGAGGTAGAGTTTGATTAGGATTAAAAAAGAGCAATGACAAGTTGAAATAGATTCAGCAGAGAAATATAAACCAGATCACACAATGTATGAACAGTACAGTGCAAAGAAACAATGTTTCTTCAGAAGATAAACCACATAATAAACCAGGACAAGAGAGGCAAGTATCAAAAACTGTGGAGTCAGGCCAGGTGTGCTAACTCTACAAAAAAATTTTAAAAATTAGCTGGGGGTGGTGGGTTGCGCCTGTAGTCCCAGCTACTGGGGAGGCTGAGATGGCAGGATCACTTGGACCAGAAGTTCAAGGTTAGAGTGAGCTATGATTGTGTCACTGCACTCCAGTCTAGGTGATAGAGTGAGACTCTGTCTCAAAAACCGTGGAGTCAAGGAAATTAACACTTCAAAAGCAACGAAGTAATCGCTGGTGACTTCTGGTATAGCTCCAAATGATCAGTAAGGGTCAGCTATATTCCAGGCAGATAGGGAGCAGAACTTAAGGTCAACCAGGGTTGATAACTTCCTCCTGAAGGATGCAGAAGGGCTACAAATAAATCTGACACTGGATTAGAGCCAGGAAGTGTTCTTGAGAAACATCTCCAAGACACAACAAGAAACTATTTGAAAACACCTATTACAACCAGCTTCACTTGTTTGATGTATAAAAACAGAAGATAACCACAAAAAACCTGAAAAGAACTGTAAGAGTTTGAAGTAAAAATGCAAGACTTAGAGATCAGGTGGTTTTTACGCTTATTCCAGTAGAAGGCGATGGCTTTGGAAAAAGGAGTAGGGCAAGGGAACAGCTGACTATACAGATGACGCTGAGACTGGTTACTCTAGATTATGGATTTATGACATCAGAATGACAGACTTCGGTAAAGAAATTGTGCTTCCTAAAGACCACAGATCAACAGAAGCCTAGCCAATCGAATCATGAAAGTTTTAAACCGACATTTTTAAGAAAGAGCAAATATTAAATTACATAATGTTGTAATAGGCTGAAGTATCATGTAGAAGTGCTGAGTAATTCTCTCATTTTAGGACTCAAAACTGTATATATTACCAAGAAATATCAAAACTACTATTCAGACATATCTACTGATTCTTGGTCAGATGGAACTAGTAACTTAAACTACAAAGGAAAAATGTGTCTAGTTTAAAAGGCAAAATTTCTAATAGTAAAGATCTGCAGTAGCATTACACGTACAGATTTTGAAATCTACAAACCTGAAAGAATTCAGATGAAGAACACTTGGGAAAAGATCAAATTATTACTGTGGAAATATACAATAATCTACCCAGTCTAGAAGGAGGATACACTGCATATGGGAGGAAAAAATATGTTGGGGTTTTCTTCTCATGGATATGAAACTGTCCCAGATACAAGATTTTAATGATAGGTGGCTTTAACCCCAATACACATTGGACTATTCTTTCTACTTATTTAATAAATATAAATATCTGATTTGCTTTAGGGATAATATACAGTTGAGCTGTTCCTTGGTATCCATGGGGTCAGGTTAAGAGACTTCCCAAACTTGTGCCAGGAGTGGTGGCATGCACATCCACCTGCTCTGGAGGCTGAAGTGGGAAGATCACTTGGGCTTAGGAATTCAAAGCCGGCCTGGGAAACATAGCAAGACACCCATCTCTTTAAAAAGAAAAAAAGCTGGGCTCGGTGGCTCAGCCTGTAATCCCGCGCCTTTGGGAGGCTGAGGTGAGTGGATTGCCTGAGACCACAGGTTCGAGATCCGCCTGGACAGCGAGACCTCATCTCTACAATAAATCAAAAAATCAGCCGGGCGTGGTAGCGCGCCTGTAATTCCAGCTACTCGGAAGGCTGAGGCAGAAGGATCGCTAGAGCCCAGCAGGTCAAGGCTGCGGTGGCCAGGAGTGGCCACTGCACTCCAGTCTGGTCAACAGAGTGAGACTCCAACTCAAAAAAGAAAAAAAAAAAGGAGGGGGAGCTAATGAGTCCAACTATTTACTGAACCTGTAATCTCGATTTTGTAACACCACCTGCTAAGACAATAAAGCAAAAATCGTATCACAATGATTTGAGAATCTTTTAAATATACAGATTCTAATTATATAATTCAGACCCACTGAATCACAGTATCTGGCTTGAAATCCAAGAATCTCCATTTGTAAAAGTACCCAAGAGGATTCTGATGATCAACTGGGCTTTAAAACTGTTTGCAAGTAGGCTAAGCTTTCTAGCAGACAAGGAAATCAGCACTTGAAACTGCATGAAAAATCCACAGCTTAACCTGAAACAAAAATTGTAGGCACAGCGAAGGCAAGTGGCATTTGGGTTTTAGCTTCTGCAATCCACTGAGGAATGTGAAGTTTCTATATCTTTGCGTAAAGTAAGTTAGCCCTGAAAGGTCAGATTAAATATGTCCTGTTTATAGCTGCCACTAAAGAGCAGCAACAGAAACTCACTCACTGCTGATCTCTGCTTATGGTGGCTATTATTTATGGTTCATATTTAATTCAACTTTAGTTATCATGTCCCCTTCAAATATTAAGTACAATCAACCTAAGGGCAAATAATAAAGCAACTTCTATGCCTTAGCCTCTATTCTTCTCATGAAACTTATAATAAAGATGCAAAAGATCATAAAAATGTCAAGTTAAGCTTTATTTATTTGTAATTAGCAAATAAGTAAATCAACTTCTAAGTTATGAAGCATGGAAAACACCAACAATGTTATTTAATATTTAAATCTAGCAAGGAGTCCATTAAGGCTAGATAACAGGTATCAAAAATTATTATAGTAACAAAGAAAAAAGACATACATTTTTACAAAGAAAATAAAAGTCTTAACATCACCAATTGTGTGCTTTTCTATACAGCACCAATTTTTTTCCTTAAAAATTATTGAGCCTATGGTAACTCCTCAGTTTATAAACAAGAATCAGTTTTCTAAACGTAGTATTTTAAAGTCTCAAAGTACTCCATTCATTTGTATTTCCTTCTGCCTCTCCAACATTAAAACTTTACCTTAGTTAATTTCAACACATTTCTTGTGTCTAAATTAAATCTTCATAAAACTTATTTCATCTGTCTTTTACTTACACATGCAAGAATATGATTTGGCAAGTACTACTACATCATCTGAATAGAAAACACTGCACTAAAACACTGAAATTTTTTAAAACTTAAAAACACTGAAAAGAATTGCTATTAAAACATTAAAATAAGCTAATATTTAATTACAAACTAATCAAGATTCAAGTACTTACCTGAAATAAGAGCTACATGTTGCAAGAACCATCTTATGACAAGGGAATTCAGTGCCCTCAACGATTAACACTATGTCAGTAAACAACTGCTGTTCATAAAATAGTTTCAACTGTTCCAACAAGGACACAGCATATTCAGTATTGATCTGCCTCTCGTCTTGAGTGGACATGACTGTATTCCATTAATATCTCCCGGAAGAGATTAGAAAAGTCAGTCTTACTGATTGAAGGTCAAGTAAATACTTCAGAAATAAAGGAGAAGCTCTACTTGCTGTTATCTGCAGCATTCAGAACCAAGACTGACACATTCACTAATGAATAGTATCTTGTTATAGGCTTAGAATCACTCCTAGGTCATCCTGTGTTAATTAGGTTCTTCAGAGTTTTTCAACACAGTCCACAGACATCGTGTTCAAATCTGCAACTGTGCACCTCATGAGTGAAAGAGGAAAATATACGAGGTAGGTTCCGTGGCAACATCCTATGTTCAGTGGATCCTGTGGAGTAACTAAAAGAAAAAAAGTTCAGTTGGAGTATGTAGGCCAGTACAATTTTAGAATACAATGTTTAAAATGGCAGCCTTAAATATAAATCATATTTATTTGAAGTACAACTTCATACATTACCATAAAAATGAAACATGAGAAAAATGAACATTTTAAAAGTATACTACATTTAAAATAAAAACCAGAAGAAAATTAGTATTTGATGTTTTAACTTTTGCCTTCTATGCAAATATAAACATCCCAGAAAATAAGAAACACATAAATAAGCTACATTTTAAAAGTTCTTTAAAAATAAGGAATTTAAATTACCAAGGCCAAATCTCCTAGTTATTTAAGTAGCAACAAATAACCATAATATTTAAAAAAATAAAAAAACAAACTAACACAAAAAAATCTCCTCTCTTATATGAAGAGTCTCATTCTCTGAAAATGCTCTAGATACACTTACAAAGTCTTCATATATTTAATTTAACTCTTTGCATTCAGATGTCCCCTCTGAGGAATCATGAATCTAGCAAACCAGTCTGATGTTTCCTTTCAGGGGACATAAAGAGACTGCTGGTAATTATACAGAACAAACTTACGAAAGTACAAATTTTTCAAATATGTATGTTTCTCTGAAGTTTTTAATTCAAATTGCATGAAAAAGCAAATAAATAGATGAAATATGTATTGAGATATACTTTTAAAAAATCCGCTGGAACTACCAAGAAAATGAGTGAAATGCTTTCACGGTGCTGCTGACACTTCTTTGTAACAGAGGTAGCAATAAATAGCATTTGTATAGGAAAGGTAGTGTGGGTATACCCTTTGTATCATATGGCATAACTTGAAAAGACAGACAAGCAAGTTACTACAGCCTTAAAAAAGAGACTCCCAGGGCAACCCCTTCCGGTCCTCTCCCACTGTGGGAGCTTTTCTGTCCTCTCAATAAATCCTGCTTTCTCACTTAAATAAATAAATAAACAAATAAATAAACAAATAAACAAACAAGAAAAAAATGGCTCAAAACAAGACTTTAAAGGTGAAGCGAGATCATATTGAACTGTCAAGTGGCACACAATGAATACCGCTATCTGCAATAAGTCGGAAATGTAAAATTGGAAAAGTAATATTCTTTTGATAAATTTCATTTTGTGATTTTGTAATTTACAATTAGAATTTTTTTTTTTTTTGAGTTGGAGTCTCACTCTGTCGCCCAGACTGGAGTGCAGTGGCCGCTCCCGGCCACCACAGCCTCGACCTGCTGGGCTCTGGCGACCCTTCCGCCTCAGCCTTCCAAGTAGCTGGAACTACAGGCGCGCGCTACCACACCCGGCTAGTTTTTGATTTATTGTAGAGATGAGGTCTTGCCAAGTTGCCCAGGCAGGTCTCGAACCCGCGGGCTCAGGCAATCCACTCACCTCAGCCTTCCAAAGGTGCGGGATTATAGGCTGAGTCACCAAGCCCAGCTTACAATTAGAAGTTTTAAATCAGTTTACTTAGTTTGCAGAACAACGGCAACATGAAAAGACAAAAAAAAGCCTTATTAGCAGCACTGAAGATAAGTTAGATTTAGACTTTTATATAGATAAGTTAGAAAAAATTAACAATGATGTGGAAGAAAATGATAGCAGCAATAGTGATATCGTTCCACCAAGAAGAAAATGGGCAAATGTAATAGAAAGTGATGGCAATGAAAGTGTTAGTAGTTTTGGAGAAGACAATATAACAAGTGAAGAATGGGAAGATATTACAGAAAAATATGATCCTCTAGCGAGAATAAATTTTGTTGTACATCTTCAAACAACAGGACCACAAGTAGCAAGTAATATAAGAGAACCGACTATTTTACTCTGTATTTTACAAGTGAATTAGTGGAGGTGTAATAAATAGTTATGATGATGAAAAAATAAGGAAAAAGCAGCTATCACACAAATTGACTTGGCATATGTGGCATGATATTGATCGACAGGAATTTTTAACTTTTATTTCAGTTATCCTTAATATGGGAATAATTCAGGTGCCAAACTTGCAAGAGTACTGATCAACTGCTTTCAACAGTAAAACACTCTTTCTTTTCAGAAACTTTAGATAGAGAAAGGTTTATACAAATCTTCTGGATGCTTCGAAGATTTGAAGACACCTGAGTCGAGTGATTTGGATGATCAGAACTCATAGTCAAAAGGCCAATAATTATTAGGAATACACTGATTCAAAATTTTCACAGTATTTCATACCAGATCAGGCAATTTGTGTTGACAAATCTGTTGTTCAATTTAAAGTGTGAGTATCACTTATAACATAAATCCAAGTAAGTCCACCAAATGCAGTATATACATTTATGCGCTGATACAAAAACAGGGTATCTTTTTTCAGTACTTTCCTACTATGGCAGCGTAACATCTGAAATCATCATTCGACTCGATCTTCCAGTAAGCATCAGAATTCCAAATATTACATTTAGATAAAAACTTATTGGAAAAAGTTCCCAATGCAGCATGGGAACCCACCATGTTTACTGACAGATATTACACTAGTATTGTCCTAGCAGAAGAGCTACTAAAGATGAAATGCTATCTTATTGATACAAAGTCAGCTGAAAAGGAGTAAAAGCACAAATCAAAAAGTCAAAGTTTTTAACAACAACAAACAGTATATAGGAAAAATAATCTTACGCTTCTTGTGTGGAAGGACAAGAGAGTCATTGCCATTTTCAGCACTTGGAATCATGCAGGAATGAAATCTACCACAAGGACATTACATGGTAGAAATATATCAGTCAAAAAAACTAAAATGATTCTAAATTATATTGCAAATATGAGCAGTGTGGATCATGCAGATCAATGCTTCTACAAATTGTTTTTCCACTAAAATCTTTTAAATGGTGGAGGAAACTATTCTTCTGGGGACTAGAAATATGCACCATTAACTCCTATATACTGTACTGAGCATCAAAAAAAGAAAACCCCCCGGGCTCGGTGGCTCAGTCAGTAATCCCCCGCCTTTGGGAGGCTGAAGTGAGTGGAGTCCGCGGGTTCGTGACCCGCCTGGGGGAACTTGGTGAGACCTCATCTCTACAATAAATTAAAAAAAAAAAAAATTAGCCGGGCGTGGTAGCGCACGCCTGCAGTTCCAGCTACTTGGAAGGCTGAGGTGGAAGGATCGCTGGAGCCCAGCAGGTAGAGGCTGCAGTGGCCGGGAGCAGCCACGGCACTCCAGTCTGGGTGACACAGAGTGAGACTCCAACTCAAAAAAAAAAAGAAAACCTATGTCCCATTTTAAATTTGTCAAGCTTCCGACTGTTCAGTTGAGAAGTGGTTTTAAGGAATCATGAGTGCATCCTTTCACATTGTCTTGGAACAACAGACTGGACAATACATTACATATCAATGTGGGAGGAAGAAAACAAGACTGCATTGTCTGCACAAGTAGAAAAACACCAGGTAGAAAACATCAAACAAATTGCTACTGGACAACATACATCAATGAATCTGCAATGCATGTTGGTGACTGTTTCAAACGTTACCAGTTAGCAAAATTTAAGATATAAGATTTTGATTTTATTTGTCATAAATAAGTCCCTCAATGTCCAAAATTACATTATAAGCCAAATATTACAATAAAATGATTGGTTCCGACGCTATATTACTTAGTATGAAGTTGATTAGTTTTTCACTATATCATAAAAAAGTGCAGTTGAGTTGCTGGTAGGTGATCCATGAGATGTCTCCGAGTGCAAGACGTTAAATTACTTAAACTATATGGCAAATAGAGCCAAATAGCCTTTTTCAAAAGTATAAACTACATATTCTAAAATCTGTTGTTCAATCCTATAACAGAAGTGAGTGCAATTTATATCTCTGTCAACCAGTACAGCAGCTCATGCCTGTAATCCAGCACTTAGGGAGACCCAGGCGGGAAGACTGTTTGAGTCAAAGAGTTTGAGACCAACCTCAGCAACTTCAGGAGACCATTGTCTCTACCAAAAAAAAAAAATCAAAAAATTAGCAAGGAGTGGTGCTGTACACCTACAGTCCCAGCTACTTTTTTTTTTTTTTTTTTTTTTTAAGCTACTCGAGGTTAGGCAGAAGGATCGCCTGAGTCCAAGCGGTCAAGGCTGCTGTGAGCCTGGGCGACAGAATAAGACCCCAACTCAAAACAAATAATTTAAAAACAAAACAAAACAAAACTGTATTCTCCTTGTAGAGTGGTTCCTTCTCAGGAATCTTTATGAATAAGAGCACATAATTTTACTGAGAAAGACAAAACAAAACATATTTAAGTGGATATGTGTTCCTACACAGAAAGCTCCGTATTATACAAACATGAGTGTTGTCCAAATTAATATGTAAGTTTAATACAAATCCAGTCTAAATCTTATTTGCAGGGGACTTATCTGGAAGAATGCACAAAAGTTGCCAAGATATTTGAAGGGGAAGAAGGGCAAGTTTTTTTTTAAAGAAAGATTCTTATCAAGCATTAAAATGTATTATAAACCTATGCTAAACATGACATTTCAAATTATGAAGACTGGTTTATTTCAACAAATAATGTTGGAACAATTGGCTAACCACTCAAAAAAAAATTAGGCTTTAGTTATACTGCATACCATTCATTAAAAAAAAAATCCAGCTCAACAAAGTTCTTGGAACTCAGTATTTACAACAGATGGCAAAGGAACTACAAATCAGGAAAAGAAAAACTCAAACCGAATGCCACTAATATGTTAACCATAAAATCTACTACTTCTTTTCTTATTAGATGACACGTAGTTCTCATAATCAGAAAGTCAAGTGATACTAACATGAAACTTATAAATATGACCATCATTGGTATCACTAAAATTTTTCCTCATAAACTATCATCATATCCAAGAAAAGATCACATATACTTCCTGCCAAACTATACTATTACAAGAACTGCTAACTTGATATAAACTGTCAAGTTTTCAGTCAAGTTAACCATGGAAGTAATTAAAACAGGTGCAAAGGCAGAGCAAGTCTTTGGGTCATTTTAGGTA